GTTCTATCACCACAGACCCTGCTAAAGAGTCTGTCCCCTTCTTTCCTGTAGCTTCCCTTTAGATACTGAAAGGCCACTATCGGGTCACCTCGGAGCCTTCTCTTCTCCAGGCTGAATAGCCCCAGCTCCTTCAGCATGTCCTCGTAGGAGAGGTGTTCCACCCCTTGAATCATTTTTGTGGCCCTCTTCTGGATGCACTCCAACAGGTCTGTGTTTCTCCTGTACTGAGGACTCTACATCTGGACACAGTATTTCAGGTGAGGCCTCACCAGCGCAGAGCAGAGGGGCAGGATCACTTTCCTTGCCCTGCTGGCCATGCTTCTTTTGATGCAGCCCAGGATACAGTTGGCTTTCCAGGCTGTGAGGGCACATTTCTGGCTCGCAGCCAGCTTGCCAGCCACTAGTACCCCCAGGTCTTTTTCGGCAGGGCTGCGCTCAATCCTTTCATCCTCCAGCTTGTATTGGTAGTGAGGATTGCCTCGACCCAGGTGCAAGATCTTGCACTTGGATTTGTTGAACCTCATGAGGTTCACCTGGGTCTACTGCTCAAGCCTGTCTAGGTCCCTCTGGATGGCATCCTGTCCCTCTACAGCTTGGTGTCATCAGCAAACTTGCTGAGGATGCACTCAACCCCACTGTCAATATCACTGATGGAGATATTAAAGAGTATCGGTCTCAGCACTGACCCCTGAGGGACACCACTCACTACTGATCTCCATCCAAACACTGAGCCACTGACCACCACTCTCTGGACTCGATCCTGCAGCCAGTTCTTCGTCCATTGAACAGTCCACCCATCAAATCCATATCTTTCCAATTTGGAGAGAAGGATGTTGTGGGGTACCGTGTCAAAGGCCTTACTGAAGTCCACATAGATGACATCAGTGGCTCTTCCCTTGTCCACTGATGCAGTGACACCATCATATAAGGCCACTAGGTTGGTCAAGCAGGATTTGCCCTTGGTGAAGCCATGCTGGTTCTCCTGTATCACCTCCCTGTCTTCCATGTGCCTTAGTATATCTTCCAGGAGGATCTGCTCCATGATCTTTCCCAGCAGAAAGGTGAGACTGATAGGATGGTAGTTCCCAGGGTCATCCTTTTTCCCCTTTTTAAAAATGAGTGTGATGTTGCCTTTTTTCCAGTCACCTGATTGCCATGACTTTTCAAGTATCATTGAGAGTGGCTTGGCGACTACATCAGCTTATTCCCTCAGGACTCTGGGATGCGTCTCATCGGGACCCATAGACTTGTGGATATTCAGGTTCCTCAGGTGGTCATGAACCTGATCTTTGCGTACAGTGAGAGGGACATTGCTTCCCTAATCTTGTCCTACCAAACCAAGTATTTGAGGGCTGTGCTATCTTTCGATAGCAGCAAGTCTAGGAGAACTTATTTCAGGACTCAAAGACCATCTTCTTATACCCAAAGTGAATGCTATCTAGTATTTGGTGAAGAATGGTAAAATCCTAAATGCCAACAAAGAGGCTAAATCATTAAGAATAAAAAAAATATTCCTCATCTGCAATAATTAAAAAAAAACATTGCACTGAATGAAATAAAGAGACAAAACTTCTAACTGCTCAGGTCAGTGAAAAAATTCTCAGTGGTATCCATGAAGTTTAGATTGAACCTGTTTGTTCATATTTAACTTGGCATCATATAATCCATTCAGTGTAACACATATTGTGCATAGCTTTTACTTTACCACCAATTAGATCTCAGCTCCTTACTTTTCAGTCTTTGTGGAGAAGAAAAGCAAGTATGAGCATTTTAATGAAGTTCAGCAGAGAGAACTATCTCACTGAACAACTGCTTGGTTTATAACATCGCTACATACACAACAAAATGAAACTAGCAATACTACATCTGTTTACGACTTCATTATGCATTTCACTGAACATTTTCCCTACACTACTAATTGTCATGGTTTTATGGTTTTTTTTTGATTTTCAATATTCCACATCAAAACATCATGTACTGGAATTAAAGTGTTAATGCTCTAATTCTATGTACCTATCCCTATACATTATGGAAGTCATGGGATCTGACCCTTCCGGGTGGGGCGGTCTCTTACTGCCTGGCAGTGGGTGCTGGAGGGTGCTTTCCTAGCCGTTCCAAGCTGTTCAGGTTTGACTCGGTCTCGGGAACTCTCTCTCATATCTTATTTGATTTATTAGTCTCAATTTCAATTAGATTGTATTATATTGTGTTATCTTGCATTCCGATATTGTGTTATCTTGCATTCCGATATCATAGTTAGTAAAATAAGTTTACCTCCATAGATTGTTGCCGCTGTTTTTTTTCCCCCCTTCCTTCCTTCCCATTTTGTGGGGCCAGGCGGGGGGTGGGGAGGGCAGGGGCCTACTGCCCCCTGTCATGGGCATAAATTGATCTAGTTAACTCCGTGACACTAATCTATCCTAAAGAATTTCAGAACCAGCCATGTGGATGGTTTGAAAAGAAGTATGACTACACTATTATAATGGAAGTGGTTTAGTGACATAAAAAACTACTGTATTCTCAAATGTGACACTTTAATTTTCTGACCACACATGCTGTAATACATTTCATAGAAGGTTAAGCATTAAAATACATATAGCCTTTGTATATGAAGGCCATATTAAAACAACCGTCACTAAAAGTTTTAGAGCATCTCTGTTGTCTAGAAAAATAGCTTTGCCAACAGACCAGTTTGAAATTCAATCCCCAAAATAAGCCATATTGAGGCAGTAACAAACATTGTTTCTGAGGTGTCCAAATGCACTAAGACAAAGGGAAACACAAACTCTTCTGCATCAAGGTGTACAGACTTTTTCAAAGTAAATGGAAATGCTTTCTCATGCTTATGTCCTGACAGATAGATGCATTGCAGTTTCTTGACAACAAAATTCAAGTATGAAGTTAAACATGAAGTCTACTATTACATTTTGTCTTTGTGCAGAGGATACACATGGGCTGAATTACCAGGAATGCTTGTTACCCTGTATTACTTTCTAACTAATTGTTCATTCCCTACATTGTGAGGCTGTTAAAGGCCTAGTGCTAAGCGCACTAAAAATGCTTTCTATTCATAAAGTTAACTTCAGCTAAGCTCTTTGCCAGGTCCAAGAAGAGGGATCACAGACGGCACACAAACCTGTCACTGCAATGGAGCACTGGGAGTCCCTGTCAGGCACAGCTCTACTGCATCTGTGAAGACCACAATGTTCTATTAACCCAAAAGTAGCACAGGATGCCTTTTGGGATACCCCTGTCCTTACATCTATAGCAAATGTTTTTCTCTTGTACTAAGAGCCTGTTTCCCACAAACTAAAGTTGTTTTTGGTTAAAGGAAAACTGCAATCTGACAGGTATGGATTGAGCCTAATTCCAAAAGTAAAGCTCAAAAGTGTTAATGTCTTATGTAATTTAGGATCAGGTGAATGATAGGAGCTATAAAATGATAATAAAGGTCACTGTTCTCCAGGATGATTTTTGCACACATATTGCAACCCAGGTAAAATTATGACGTAGTTTAATAATATTACATTTACAGGTGTAAATGTACCATCTACTACAGTGGTATGTTTTCACTACACATCTCTCACAGCAAGACCTAGAGCTCAAATAATGAAAAGCCTATTGACACAGAAAAGTACCCAAGAGTGATTTCAGATCTCAGCAATGTAAGTCAGAAATCTAGCAAATCTCAAAATACTATGCGGTACCTTTCTGGGTCACAAGGTACTTTATGACTTTATAAAGCATGAAAAGAATATACTCTGGGGGATTTGGTGAGGGTATTTTGGGAGTGGAAGGGCTGACCTGTCCTGAAACTCAATGAAAGAAAGTTTTCTTCCATGGGCTTTAAGTTAAGTCTTAATTGCTCAGCAAAGTGTAAATATAGTAAATAAAAAGGCATAGAGCTATGAAAGCTAGAAGTTTGACTAGCTACTACATTGGTGAAATTATTTTTAGACTATTAAAAGTTTACTACATAATAATTATGGGAAGAATATGCCTTTCCTAGACTTCCTTTGTGTAATCTGCTTCCTAGCAATATGTGGGAGAAATGCCAGTTCTCATGGTGACAGAATTGTTCACCATAATCAAGCCAGCTCGAACAGTGACCATTATTTGTAAAAACTGATGCAAAAGGCAAAATGTAATGTAACCCAGTAAAAATTGGCAAGCAAAAACATTTTATGTAATTTTATTTTTGATTGCTATATGATGATGATGGTTCTATGGTATAGTATTCTGCAAGAGTAGGTCACACAAAATCCTGTCCATGGCACTTGAGCTAATAAAACAACAAAAGACTCACCAGACAAAAAACTTGAAGAATTCATCTTTCTTTCACTAATAAAATCATAAGAAGGTCCCTATAATTTTATGTTCCCAATTTATACATATAAAAAATTTATTAAAAATACAGAATTTATAGATCCTATTACATAGGAAAATGGTAACAACTCTGTCTAAAATACTTCAAATTTAGATTTGTAAACAGCTCGAGCACCTAAACAAATTCATATTTATATCAAAAAATAGGTGACCAGTTGTAATCTGCAAGAATTTGCAATAAGGTTAAGCAGGTTTGTCATGCACTGAAATGGAGAGCTGAAAGCACAGGAATAGTGCAATAGTGAATAGGGCCTTATCGTAACACAGGCAAGAGGTAGTCATGTTATTTCAAAGGCAGCTTCAGAGCTGTGGTCTTAATGTATTAAAGCAAAGCTGGCCACTTATCTTAAGAATGTATTTATTAAATTATCACCATCCATTGGGATTTAGCAGCACTGGTAGGAATTCATAAAGCTTACAAAGGAAAAGATCTAAAAATTCCAGAACTCAAAGGTAGTTCTTCCTCCAACTAACCATTTCTATGATTTGTTGGTATGCAAAAGTGCATTGAAGCCTCAGAAAAGATTTTAAAGTTTGCCCAAATCTTGTTAATATACTGCAATCTTCAAATTTAAACAGAGCTGCAGTTCTGTTTTTTCTCAAGTGTCACTCATCTAATTTAGCATGACAGTTGAGAAACGATATCAGATGTGTTACAGTTCAGTTTAAAAAACATCCTCTACCTGGTATCTCTGTAGTGATGGTCTTGCTTCTCCCTGAAATCTCTTCATCATCAGATGAATTCGTGCTTGAGTCACATGTCAGGTCACTATCACTGGTACTGCTGTCCTGCAGCAGGTTGTACTTCTTGCGAGCAGCTGCCTCTCGTTTCTGCCTTAACAGACGGATTCTTTCCCTGTGTTTTTGACTTCGGTGACCTTTTACCTTGGTAACTCGATCATTCTGCTTATCACTAGACTGTCGGTTTTTCTTGGCAGCCATTGTCGAAGTCTCACTTTCAGACCTGGATCGCCTGGATTTCCTCCCAACTGCAGCCCTAGAGATCCCAGAAGGATCCCCCTCTACAGCAGCTTCAGCTTGACAGGGCTCATTCTCTTCTGTGGAAGACAATGTATCTGAGTCAGCCAAATGCCCACTGGAAGAAGAAAGCATGCAAGGATTAGAAGAGTCACTCTCATAAACTTGACCATCTGTTGCCTTATCACTCTCTGCAGATGCTAGCTGAGATTCTGAAGAGTCTCGTCTCAGTTCCATCAGTAAGCAAGGCATCAACAACAGCACTGCAGAGTCTGATGCACTGTGCATGAGGTCTTTCTGAGTATGAGTCTTTAGTTCTACAGGACCATCTTCATCAGGAACTGTCTCTTGCTTCTCAGAAGCCTTTGGCAGAACTTCTGAATTCACAAGTGCTTCTGCTTTTCTGACTGCCTCCATCTTCATTTCAGAACACCAAGGTCCTCCTGATCTCAAAGCATAGAACACATGGTCTGAAAGATTGGGTAAGCTAGATATGGTTTTCAGCAATACAGCAGCCTGCACAAGAACAGAACAGTAAGAATAATTTACCCAAGTAACTCACTTAGTCCAAATCTTCAGAGTATTACCTAATCAACTTGTTGCTTTCAGTCAGTATGGCTCAGTACCATATTGCTTTTTTCTGTTCACTAGGAAAAAGTAAACTCATCCTGTTACACCAATCTATTCTTCCTTTTTTAAACACGTATGAAAGACAGCATTGGAATCACACTAAATGTTGGAAAGTAAGGGGACCTAAGAGAGCTGGTCGACATCTAAACACGACTTATTCCAAGCTCAAGATCGGTGCCTCCCTAAGAGTACAAAATCAGGGAAAGGCGGCAGGAGGCCTGCATGGATGAGCAAGGTCCTCATGGATAAACTCAAAGGAGAGAAGAAATTCCATAAAGTGCAGAAAAAGGGCCTGTCCACTTGGAAAGAATATAGGAATGTTGTCAGGTCCTGCAGGTATGCAATGAGGAAAGCTAAGGCTCACTTGGAATTAAATCTGGCAAAGGAGGCCAAGGATAACAAGAAAGGCTATTTTAAGTATGTCAATAGTAAAAGAAAGACTAGGGAAAATGTGGGTCCACTACTGAATGAAGTAGGTACTCTGGAAACGGGATGCTGAGAAGAGAGCATCTAGCCAAAATCAGTGCACAGAAATCCATAGGCCCCAATGGAATGCACCCATGTGTGCTGAGGGAGATGGCAGAAATAATTGCTGAACCGCTTTCTATGATCTTTGAAAGATCTTGGAAAATGGGAGAGGTGCCTGAAGACTGGAGGACAGACAATGTCACACCAGTCTTCAAGAAGTGCTAGAAGGAGGATCCGGGCAACTACAAGCCAGTCAACCTCATCTCTGTCGCTGGAAAGGTGATGGAGCAACTTGTTTTAAATGCCATCTCCAAGCAGCTGGAAGAGAAGAAGGTAATCAGGAGTAGTCAGCAGGGACTCACCAAGGGGAAATCATGCTTGACCAACCTGGTAGCCTTCTATGATGTCATCACCAGCTGGTTAGATGAAAGGAGAGCAGTGGATGTTGTGTACCTTGACTTCAGCAAGGCATTTAACATCTCCCACATCCTTGTGGTGACGGTTAGAAAGCATAGGATAGATGAGTAGACAGTGAGGTGGCTTGAGAACTGGCTGACTGGCAGAACTCAAAGAGAGGGTTGTGATGTATGGCTCACAGTCTAGTTGGAGGCCTGTAACTGGCCAGGAGTTGGTACTGGCTCTGGTCTTGTTCAACGACTTCATCAATAACCTGGATGAAGGAATAGAGTCCGCCCTCAGCAAGTTTGCTGATGATACAAAGCTGGGAGGAGTGGCTGACACACCAGAAGGCTGTTCTGCCATTCAGCAAGACCTAAACATACTGGAGAGTTGAGCAGAGAGGAACCTGATGAGGTTTAATAAGAGCAAGCATGGAGTCTTGCACCTGGGGAGGAATAACTGCATGCATCAGTACAGGTTAGGGACTGATCTGCTGGAGTGGAGCTCTGCAGAGAAGGACCTGGGTGTTCCGGTGGACAACAGGTTGGTCAAGAGCCAGCAGTGTGCCCTTGAGGCCAAGAAGGCCAATGGTATCCTGGAGTGCATTAAAAAAAGCATGGCCAGCAGGTTGAGGGAGGTGATCCTCCCCCTCTACTCTGCCCTGGGAGGTCACATTTAGACTGTGTCCAGTTCTGGACTCCCCAGTTTAAGAAAGACTGAGATCTCCTAAAAAGTGGAGGGCCACAATGATGATTAAAGGCCTGGAGCATCTCCTGTAGGAGGAAAGGCTGAGAGACCTAAGACTCTTTAGCCTGGAGAAGAGAAGGCAGAGGGGATCTCTTAACTGTTTATAAATATCTAAAGCATGGGGGTCAAGTCAATGAAGGCAGACTCTTTTCGATGGCATGCACCTGTGCTCCCATAGCTGACTCAGTCCTTGCTTCAGGTGACCAATCAGCAGTTCAGGCTATGACTCAACAATTCCCATACAGCCAGTATGAAAACATCTATCTAATATTTTGTCACATGCTCATATACACTGTAAGAATATCCTGCATGAGATTGATCAAACCAGAGAACAAGTCATGACATGCCTAAGGAAGTGCCTGGAGAGGCATCAGGAAGGCCTGAAATCGCCCCCCCCCCCCCCCCCCCCCGTGCTCTTTGTTTAACAAAGAACCATCCTTTGTACAGAAAGGAAGAAGCCTTTGAGAGAATCACTATGTCAGTACGATAAGAAGGGTACTGAGACATCTTGGAAACAACAGGAAAGTGACTGACTAGCAACAAGATGAATTAACAAGTGTCAGAATGTAATTAACAAATGTAAATCTTCAGTAAGATTGTGAACCTGGAGTACCCAGCCAATGGGAAAACAGGAGGGGGTAGGAATGGGGAGACAAAGTACAAAAGCTGTACTATTGTGTCCATAGGTGTGCTCCTGCTTGTGGGATGCCTGCCATTGCAATTGCCAATAAAATTTGCTTTTATCGGATACCATGGATAGTAAAAGATGGTTCACAGAAACAAAGGGTAAAGAGAGTTTACAGAAGCAAATACGCGGAGGCTGCTAAAAGAACGGGGATGGCAACAAGCTGGGATTAGGACAATGTGAGGGGTGGAAGACATAAAGATAAGAGTTTTGAGAACAGTTCAAGGATATTTAGTAAGTGACAAGATGTCCACAAGGCAAGCTAGAACTGGTTCAGGGGCTACCCCTTCCACAGGGCCAGAAGTTTACAGGGAAGACGACTATGAGCCTTCATCCTATGACCACCAGGAGGAGACCCCCACTGCTCATGATGCACACGCAAGGAGGAGGGACCATATGCTAAGGGGTTCTCAGAAATATAATGAATATGTATGCAAATCCCAGGAAAATGATTATGTATAAGTTCGGCCTATATCTGTACAAAGCTTTTGCTCTACGGTGTGCAAGTTAGGTGGAGCCATCCCCCTTGCACCAGGGCACATGCACACTGCTAATAAATATACCTGCTCTATATCCTTATTCAGGCTATAGGGTTTGATTTCCACACGTCAACCATCCTGACAAAAATATTTGGATATTTCCAACAGCTTTTACAGAGATGCCCAGGGCAGAGTGGCTCAAATATCTCCTAGTAATAGTGTGTCAACTTCCAGGATGCCCTGATGCATTTCCAGCAGCTTCAGCAACCTCCAGCTCTCTTATGAAATTACTGCTAGAACCAACCACTCCCAGGTATGGGATAGTGGAGACAATAGACTCTGATAGAGTAATCCATTTTACTGGAAAAGTATTACAGGAGGTAATGACTGCTCTAGGAGTACGATGGGACCTACATACTCCTTAGCATCCAGAAAGTTCAGGGAAAGTGGAATGAATGGATAAGGAAATAAACACCTCCTGAAAGTGGAGTGATCACTGTGTCCTGAATGAAGTCACACCCCCACTGTGATGGACATGCTACAAGTTCAGTATAAATAGAAATCAAACGCAGCTAAGTGGTACGCCACCACTAACACCTTTTTCTCCATTCCTTTGGCCGCAAAACATATGCCTCTTTGCTTTCACCATGAGAACTGATGGAGTTCAGTATACCTGGAACTGTTTTCCCCAGGGGTAGAAACATAATCCAATGATTTACCATGGATTGATTCAGACTACACCAGAACAGAATAGTGCACCTGAACACTTACAGTATATTGATGACATTATTGCGCGGGACAAAACAGCAGGGGAAGTTTCCAAGAAAAAAGTGAATAATCCAGACCCTTCAATGAGCTACCTTTAATATCAAGTGAAGCAAACAAACAAACTTAGCAAAACAGGTTATAATAACAAAAACAGAACAAATAGAATACTCAAGTACATCCCAAGCTCACTACAAAACTCCAAAGAAAAAACTCCAGAAAAAACCCTTTCCTATTTGTAGTCAGCTCTTAAATGGGTCTAGGAGAGGTGGAGCCAGGCTCTATCCCTTCCGGCAGCACAGGTGAATTGCCTTCACCTGTGCTCCCAGGGCTGACTCATTGCTTGCCTCAGGTGATCAATCAGAGGTTGAGGCTGTGATTCAGCAGTTCCCATACAAGGGTCCAGTGCAGCAGCAGGTGTTTGAGCATATTAAACAGGAGATAGCCGACACTGTGGCCTTAGGGTGAGTATGGATAGGACAGGATGTAAAGAACATCCTCTACATTGCTGCTGGAGAGAAAGGTCCCACTTGGAGTCTGTGGCAAAGAGCCTAAGGAGAGACCTGAGGCAGACCTCTAGGATTCAGGAATCAAGCATACAGGGGGGCTGAAGAGGACTACACTCCAGCTGAAAAGAAGATCTTAGCTGCGTATGAGGAGGTTTGGGCTGCTTCTGAAGTAGTCAGTACTGAAGTGCAGCTCTTTCTAGCACCTTGACTACCAGTGCTGAACTGGATGTTCGAGGGAAAGGTTCCCTTCCCTCCATCCATCATGCTACTGATGCCACTTGGAGTAAGTGGATTGCGTTGATTACACAGTGAGCGCAGATGGGGAACCTCACCTGTCCAGGGATCCTAGAGGTGATTGTGGACTGGCCTGAAGGTAAAAAGTTTAGAATGTCCCCAGCAGAAAAGGTATCATGTGCTAAAGAGGCCCCACCATACAATGAACTACCAGAAAATGAAAAGCCATATGCCCTGTTCACTGATGGATTGTGTCGTATTGTGGGAAAGCATCGCAGATGGAAATCTGCTGTGTGGTGCCCCACATGACAAGTTGCAGAAGCCTCTGAAGGGAAAGGAGAATTGAGCTATTTAGCAGAGGTAAAGGCTGTCCAGCTGGCCTTAGATGTTGCTGAACGGGAGAGGTGGCCAATGCTTTATCTTTACACTGACTCATGGATGGTGGCAAATGCCTTATGAGGGTGGTTACAGCAGTGGGAACAGAACAACTGGCAAAGAAGGGGTAAACCTATTTGGGCTGCTGAACTGTGGAAAGATATTGCTGCCCAAATAAAGAATATGGTCGTGAAGGTACGCCATGTAGATGCTCA